TCTTGGGCTGTGCAGATCTGAGACTGAACGATCCGTTGTTTTTCAGATCACTTCTTCATTTCTATAGTAGGTCTGCAAAGATTAATTCCAAGCGTTGCTCCCACTGGATTTAATTTTCAGCTCATTCCCTGAGCCAAGCCTTTACAGTAAAAGAGAATTGGATAACTAGACAGATTATTTGGGCATTAAAGTTTCTTGACCATGTGGAATTGGGAAAAAGGAATGATTACCCTTAAGATTAGTTGTTCCGTTTGCTTCACCTAACAAATGAAACAGGATATTGGTACCAATACCCCCTGTGGGGAGGTAAATGAGTAATGAATGTCCTGTCTCTGTTTTGGGAGATTGTATATGAGGCTACGTGACACAGGAAGGCCAGGTACTTTGGGATGATCGATATGTTGGCTAAAAGTATAAAAGACTGTAAACAACTGCCCTTCGGGGTTCAGATTTTGCTTGACCAATCACTACTGAACCTTTGCGCAAATAAACCTCTCCCTCTGACAAAGAGCTGGTCTTGTCTCATTTTCTGCTACAACAGCACCTTAAAAACCGACGTGCTGTGACTTTTGAAAGATGAGATCTATTCTATCTATACTTCAAAAATCCACAGGGCTATTAAATGGTGACAGAGATATTGAAAATTAATTCATTGCTGGACCTCCAGCATTTTTTGTAGCCCAAATTCACAAAGCTTAGCCTGGGCTCAACCTGGTATATTTTGTGATTGGTGCTTGTAATAAATTCCACTCTTTCTTTTAATGGCCTTTGGGAGAACTTTGAGAATTTTATTGCATAGTACAAAATGCAAATATTATATACATATATTATGAATGAATATGTATGTATGTATGTATGTATGTATGTATGTATGTATGTACTGTGTGTACTGTATATATTCATATTCTTACCGAAAGAGAGAGCCATGTGTGAAAATCAAGGCTGGCTGAGGGCAGGCGCTCCAAGTGGGAAATATGAGGAACCTCAACTCCAGGTAAACGGTCCAAAAGCTGGAAAAAGAGAGTGAGTATCACTATAAATAGATTTTCAACCAACCTTGTAGTAGACCATTAAGAAGCATATAATACTTGAGTAGAGAACGGTATGATTATTGAGTAACTCGGAACTATCACTCCAAGAATGTTGAACCACAATATCTGCTTTTTCCTGCTGAATTCCTAAGCTAAGTGAGATAAAATGCAGAGAGCCAAGATTCCAACAGTTAACCAATAGTTAACCCAAAGGAAAGGTTTGGGACATGTGATATTAAAGCTCTTTGTCTTTAGTCAAATATATTTTCCAAGACTCAGTACCTGTTTAAATACAGGTTGCCCTCTAGTTATAACCATAATGGAGCTTGCTCATTATGGTTGCAAGTTATGAGGATCATAAAAGGTGTTGTTAAGCTAACATTGAGTGATTAAGGAAGCACATTTACTCTGGGTGAATTTTTGCCAAAAACCAGATACAAATTCTGGTTTTCAACAAAAACATCATACAATGCAGGCACATGACTTCAGGATGGTGCTAAATACAGGCTGGCTAGTGAACATCCAAATTTTAGTCACTTGGAGTCTGGATAATTGAACTTTTAATCTGGGTCATAAACAACTTTTTTCAGATGTCATAATTGCAAACAGTTGTTTAGTGACCAGTCGTAACTCAAAATCTACCTGTAACAGTGGTGGCTACATATATTTACAGTAATTCCTGGATAGAAGGAGAAGCCCTGTTTTATGAACAGCAAGCTTTTTTTTATAATTCAATGCCAAAAAAAAAAAAGCATATTTGAGCTGTTCTTTTCAAGGTGAGCAATATACATTGGCTTCTCAGTCTCATTTATTGAGTCTCTCTGCATTATCCTACATTCCACATTACTAACGCTCCTAATTTCACATTACAAAATAGAAACGTTCCAGATTTGGAAAAAGATTTGATGGAGGAAGCAGCAAAAAAAGCCAACTCAAAACTTCAGTTTTTCTACCATTCTTTTAAGATGCTGATATACATTATGGATTCGTTCTGTCTGATTTTAACAAAATCCTATGTGGTAAGATTACCGGGGAGACACTTTGTGAAGAAGCCCAAATGGAAAGTCCTTGACTTATGACCACAACTGAGCTCAAAATTTCCACTGCTGAGCAAGATAGTTGTTAAGTGAGTTTTGCCCCCTTTTGCAACCTTTCTTCCACAGTTGTTAAGTAAATCAGTGCAGTTTTTAAATTTTAAATTAGTAAATGAATCCGGCTTGTCCATCGACTTTTCTGATTAGAAAGTCACAAAAGGTGATCACATGACCCAAAGACACTGCAGCCATCTTAAATACATGCCAGTTGCCAAGCATCCTAATTTGAATCACATGACCAGTGGGATTCTGTAATGATCAAATGTAAAAAATGGTCATGTCGCCTTTTTTTTGCTGCTGTTGTAACTTCAAATGATTAATAAATGAATGTTTGCTTTCTCCCCATAGATACTCATCCAAATCTTAAATTCTTCAGAAATTTTTCTTGCAAGAGCTTTGCCAAATGAGGCAAGGCAGAAAATAATTAGTGAAAACGCAAGTAGATTATATAGTGGTAAATACCCTTTCCCAGCAGTTAAAATTACCAGCTCAACTATAAAAATTTAGAAAGTCAAGGAATGCTGATAAGTGGAGAAGAGATACAGGTTAGGTCAGGAGATCCTCAAGAAAGTAACTCCTTGGGGATAATTATGTTCATGGTATAACTGCTCCGTTGGCATTTCAAACCCTCATTATCTTTGTAGTTTTGCTCTAGTACAGCATTTCTCAGTGATAGTGTCTTTAAATTGTGTGGACTTCATTTCCCAGAATTCCCCAGTCATTCCCTGGGGACAAGCACTGGAAATGATGGGGGAAAAAATAGCCTGACAGAGAAGGGATGTGAATGCATAGATAAGAAAATGAAGAAATATTGTGCAAGAAAAAGAAGCGCACAAATTAGTGTTCCTTCACAAAATGTTATATCAGCGGCCTCTAGGGGCCTAATGATAATAAATACTGAAAACATATGGACCCAAATGTTGAATTTTTCCAATAGAAAAGACTTCTCCACAGGAAAACTCTGACTTTGAAACAGTATCCAATGGCACCTATTAAATTGACTTTTGGGTGCAGCATAGCACTTCTCTCAACCAAATGTTATAAGGGGGGAAAAAAACACCCATAAAATTACTGTGATTTTATTTCCTGCACCCAAATCTAATTTTTACCATGAAATTTCACGCTCACATTTTATTCAACTTTCATTTAGAAGACAGGATGATAACCACATTTTAAAAAATCTATTACTTAGATCTTATCGATCAGTTATTACTAATTTGGCCAATTTATTAACCAATACATGAAGTAATATATTTAAAACATCTATTTAGTTCAGTGAGGGTGGAAATTTTGTAAGTTTCTCCATTTATTCTCCACATGTCCATATGGGAGATCTTTGAATGAGCCTGGGCCAATCATTCTACCTCGGCTCACCTTACAAGGTTGTTATTGTGGGGGAAAGAGGAGGAGGGAATGTGGAATATGATACTTCGAACCCCTTTACAAAATGTGGAATATGAATCAAATAAGCCAGAAGTGGCACATTGTGCATGAGAGTGAGCAATGAGAGAACTAAGATTCTACGCTATCCTCTGATGAAAACTGGAATTTTCAGGAGGAAGAATTTTTCAGATTCTAGTTTCTAGAGGAATGGTAAAAGTTAGCTAAAGAGCTAAAGAGCTATGCAAAATTTCTTTTCTCTCTCTGTTTGTTTTAAATAATCTTTTTTCTCTGAGGGTCTTTGCTTTTATACAGGATTATTCCTTATATGCTTTCCACGGATTGAGACCTCTTTACATCACAGTTGCTTCTAAAAGGGAGCCACTACCAGGTTATCATCCTCATCTTGGGGTCTTCTCGGAACTTTTCTTTCTTTCTTTCTTTCTTTCTTTCTTTCTTTCTTTCTTTCTTTCTTTCTTTCTTTCTTTCTTTCTTTCTTTCTTTCTTTCTAAATTTGTATTTTCCTATTTATATCTTCACTGTCCCTGTAATTTTTATTTCGGCGGTTCTTCTGTCTCTGATTTAAATCACCCAATTTTTTTCTCTTTCCAATCACTGAATATTTCTTTGAATAATGGGACTTCCAGTTTTCCCTTTAAAAAAACTAAACAAAACCCATGGCTCTCTACGTTTATTAAGAGAGTGGCCTATCCCCCCATAGAGAAATATGGACTGATTTTCTTAGTACTGTATCTCAACATTACCGAGCCAGGTGGTGGCATAAATTTTATTTCCTTTTTACAGGTAGGTCTCAACTTGCTACCAGTTCCTTAGTGACTATTTGAAGTTACCACAGATTTGAAGTGCTGACCGTTCCCTCTCTCTTGCCCATAATCACATGGCTGCACTTAAGGTACTTCGCAACTGGTTGGCATTTACAACCATTTGACATTTTATAACAGTTTTACCAAAAGCCAGCATTTACTTCTGGTTTTTGGCAAAACCAACCTATAGGAAGTATTGGCTTGCTTAATGACCATGACATTTGCATAACAACTGCCACAATTAAACTGGTGGTGTATGCAGGACTGAATGCAATACTCTAAGTAAGGTCTTACCAAGGCAGAGTAGAGCAGAATAATTATATATTGGTAGCAGTAATTATTCCTAAATTATATGAGGTAGAAGGCAGAGTTAGAGCATTGTTGGCAGCAGATTCGGACAGTGAGGAGGTTGGGGAGGAACATGGGCCAGTCCTGGAGTCAGAAAGGCTCTGATGAGGGCTCTGTGTTGGAGGCAGAGAGGGGGCCAGAGCCGTATGCCATTTATCAGCTGCCTTCAGAGGCAGACATCAGTGAGGCAGACGAACAGCTTGAGCCTGTTCCCAGTGTGCACATGTGCAGAATTACCAGACAGCTAAAGAACAGGGGCCGACTTGGGAGTAAGGCCACGGGTGGACGATGAATGGCCCCTCCCATAGAGAATAAAAGAGGAGCAAAAGGGGAGTGGAGTTTGCGGGAGACAATTAGTTCGCTTAATTGGTTCGTGACTCTCATAGACCCCTTGCCAAGTTTTGCAGATATCGGCCTGTCAGCTCTCCAAGCCAGATAAGGTCTGTGACTGTAAATCCTCCCTTGAAAGACGTTGCTGGATGTGAATGAGCAGAATTCACAGTCAATTAATAAAAGAGGGGTTTTTTTTTTTGGTCTGGACAAGGAGTTTGCTTCATGCTCTTGGGAAGCCTGGGTCATAACAAGCATTTAGTTTTGGCATGGGGTGGGGGAGAGGCTCTGAGAGAAGGGATTTGAGAGCTCTTCCCTGGGAATGCAGCCTTCCTTATGACCAAATCACCAACTTCTGTTTGCCATACAAGGGATGGAAGCAGCCATTATTCCATCCTTAGTGACATTTATTGATTTATATATATTTATCTATTTTTCACATTTCTGTTTGGCTAGACAATAAAATCCAACTAAGGAAAATACTTTTTGATACAACCTCTGTAAAATAATAAAATACCAGCATCCAAACATGTTACTATGAACTATCAAAATAAAGTAAAGATGACATAATAAAATCAGAGGAAGTTTCTTCAAAAAATTCCCCCTTTAAGAAGCATCCAATACATATGACAAGGATGGGATATGATTTCTACTGGAAGCTTGTTCCATAGCATAGACATTGCCCCAGAAAAGCAGAACTGTCTTGCTTCAGTTTCCCAATGTGGTATCACTAATATATTCTCTAATCAAATTCACTGAGCCTATATTCATTGGAGCAGGCAGTCCTACAAGATACACAAATGTTAAACTATAAAATTGTTTATAGGTTAAAACCAATATCTTGAAGTATATTCAGAAACTGATAGTAACCAATGCAAGTCCACAAATCAATGTTAGACACTCCCAAGAACAGGAGTAAACACACAGGACTAATTGTAGTTTGCAAATAGTTTTAAGGGCAGTCCCAAATAGAGTATATTACTGTAGCCTTAGAAACAATGATAATTGGTTAATAAATTGGACATAAAAAAGAGAATGGAGGAACTAATTCAAAAGTAGGAGCTGCCTTCTCCTTGGGGTATCTTTTAATTCATCTCTGCTAACTTCCGATCTTTGAGAAGATAGAGTAGTAGACTTACATAGTATCTTGTAAGATCCTTTGTTTTGCGAAGTAGTTGTCGTGAGAGTTTTAAGCTCATGCTAAATTCTTTCTGCAGATCCAGTTTCTTTTCAGGGGTGGTCTCAAGTCCAGATCCCTTCTCCTCTTGGAGTCCAACTGAAGGGGCAGCAAGAAGGATGTCAAACTTGAGAAGGACTTGAAGGAGGAGGAGGACAACTGTACCTAGAAAGAAGATTGAGACAGTTAGAGAGAAAGTTAGAGCGAAACATTTAGTGGGAAAGTCAGTAACTTTGATGCTAGTGTACTTAAGCCAGAATGGTGTACTTATAAAACACTAGTGTTATCATCGTTGTGAGAAAAAAAGATATACATTCATATCATATACTTTGAAGATCCTTCTTTTTCTGCAGAGATAAACCTCAGTGTTTACATGTTTACCACACCTGTATATTGAACCAATGGGGGACAAAAATATAAAAAATATGAAGAAATCCCCCACCCCTAAATCATTCAATCCACAATCTAAAATTAGCTGATTCATCATCTTTTGGGAAGTGAGTTTTTCCCATAAAATTCCTGCTACAGCATCTCAGGAATAATATCTTCATCCCAGATTTGATCTGCAGATTTGTCATGCAGTCATCTCATCATTCATACAGGGGAAATCCATTTGAGGGGAATTTCATTTTGCATAGATGCTACCATACAGAGACCTTTTCAGTTATGTTGAGGTTTCGGTTAATTTCTTTAAAACCGTAACTGAGATATTAATAGGCTGTGTCTGCATAGCTGAGAAGCTGCTAGGAAAATCAATGGAACTAAGAAAGATGTAACCCAACATTGAGATGGTAGCTACGATAGCCACAATGAAAACATTAGTTTAGCCTTTCCCAACCCGCTGATCAAAACATATGCCTGATTACAAGTCTATTTAGCCTCAGCCAGAATAAGCATTTTGGGAGCTTTAATCTGAAGCAGTTTAAGAAAGTCTTGGATTACAGCAGTGGACACAAGTAGAAGGTCCTTGATCAAGTGTTCAGTCCTCTTTGAATCTTGATGCTCATGCTTTATTGTTTTCAGAAGGAAATGGGAAGGCTATATCTCAATCATTCAATCAGTTACAGATTGTGGAAGACTCTGTTGCATATGATAGGAAGTCCAAATGTTCTTTCTTTCTCTGACGATAAATGATAGTACAGTAATGAAACTGACACCAGCCAGTGAAAAGAAAAACTCAAAGAAATAGTGCAAGGTTGGAAGATATGGAGAGACCTGACCCATCACCAAGAATGGGACTTGACTAAATGGATATCATCATCATCATCATTATCATCATCATCATTAGTACAGTAATAAACTAAATATTCTTGAATGGATATCTATTATTATATATATTCTCCTTTTCCTCCACGAAAACTCAATTGTGCACATATAGACTGGTGATACCCTGCAGTCCAGACCTGCCATGTCATTAGAGCAAGTTTATAATAAGGACATCTGATTCATATTCTGAAGTAGGTGGAATAGTACACATTATCAACTAAACAGACATCTCCTGTAACATCATTATGTCCAAAGGCTGAGATTATCTACCTGCTCAACTTTGGTATTGGAGAAGACTCCTGAGAGTACTGTAGACAGCCAAGAAAACAGATCAATGGATCATCAAACAAATCAATCCAGAATTCTCTCTCAAGACTCAAATGACAAAGCACAATTTATCCTAGTTCAAATACATTATGGGGTGACCCAGCTCTCCAGAGAAGATTTTAAAACTGGGGACAGTAGAAGGAAAGAGATGACCAGGATGACCAGTGATGACCAGCAGCAAGGTGGATGAACTCAGGCACTGAGTACACCATTGAAGGACCAAGTTATGGATCGATCATGATGTGGGAAAAAATCTATTTTTGCGGTTGTTAATAACGTGATGGCACATAATCAACCAATTAATCCAGGATATTCCTGAACTGAAATCTCTGTCTCGTTAAGCTTGAAATACATATCGGAGTTTATATTCCACGTTATACCAAGCTACGACTTTTAAAATGTAACATAAAACTGCAATCTTAGGTGCTGTACACTCCTTTCAGCTAATGTGATCCTGATGATACCTCTTCTTGTCATTGACTCATCCAGGCTGGCTTCCATGGCAAGAAACACAAATAAGCATCTTTTCACATAAGAACAACAGGTAAAAGCATTTTTTCCTTTCTTATCTTACCGCTTGTGTGCATCCTGAGGCTTTCCACTTTGTGGGGGGATCTCTGTTCGCCTGTTTGAAGAATCTAATCCTGTAGCCCATTCTGGGAGCCTTTTGAAGAAGAACACCGGCTTTCATTTTCGTGGGACACAAAATGTCCAAGATTACACTGCAGTTTGGAGTTCTGATTATCTGGTTTCAGGGGCAAAAAATCCCTCACCCCCTCCAGTTATTGTTACTAGAGTTTCAGGGCGGAAGAGTAACGTATTGGAAGAGTGAATAACTTTTTTTTAAGTTCCCCTTTTTTTTCTGTGAGGAAAAAGGAAATACGTCCTTGATCACGTGAATAAGGTCCCCCTTATCCTTTAGATTCTCTTCTCTCTCTCTCCCTCTCTCTCTCTCAACATGGACTTTTCTGAAACCACCTACGCATTTCAGTTTTGCTCTCTGTTTACTCCTAGTGACACCCCCTCCTTTCTTTTCTTTTTTTTTTTGTCTAAATTAATTTTTATTTTAAACACATAAGCACATCAACAGAAACAAACACATAACGTAAAAACAACTTAGGAACAATAAGTTCCATCGCATATCATACCGCAGTTCTGAATCGGTTTCTTTGCAGTTAGTGTTTTCCCTACTATACATTTCTATCTTGCATTCATAATTTCCTTGTTCGTTATCCATTTTTATGTACAATTCTTTATTTAATTATACTTAGCTACTTATGACCAAATATTATTTACCTATATTATGCTTTATATTTTTACTGTCATTTATTCCCTACAGTTATAGGTATACATTCACATAGTTATTTTTTTTCTTTGCCATTCTTATATTATAATATTCCATTTGAACGGTTATAAGGTATAGTTTGAAATGCTTTGTTTACTATCCTTCGCACCTACTATGACACCACCTTGTTTTCTCTTTCTTTTGTTTTCTCCTTCCCTTCTTCTCTACTTCCTTCCTTCCTCCTCTCCA